CCGTGAGACCAGTGGTACGTCATATATTGACTTCACCACACTCAGTGGAGGCATGATTTCAATCAATGCCTATATGAAGCAAAGTGCAGCTAAGTGCACATATTCACCTTGCTGAGTTACCAGTCACCAGCAACAGCAACGTCTGGGCTAACATCATGGAAGCTCCTGCTAGAAGTTCAGTCAGAGTCTGTGAGACCAGTGGTACGTCACATATTGGTTTCAACACCCTCAGCGGAGGCTTGAGTTAAATTGTTGCTTACATGAAGCAAAGCACCAGGGGCATCAACGCTCAATCGGTACCCTTCAGTACAGGTAGAGAATGACATAGATAAGCATTCACCATAGGCAGGATCTTCAGGTGCCAAATGCCAGACAACCATATCTGTTGAAAAGTAGTAAAAGGGGGTTCACAGGATCAAGCCTGGAGTTCATCCATTTTCCTCGCTGGGGTACCAGCCACCAGCACTGTGACGAGAGCAATCTCGCCACATTGCATTGGAGAAGCTTAATTGCTCGCCTGTTGCCTTTGGATTATGGCCCCATGTTAAAAGGCTTGATTTTCCCCTGCAAAGACAAGAAAGCTGGGTCATTTGGTGCTTGCCCTGTTTGAGCAGTGATATCCCAGATAGCTATGCCATGGAGCCCATTCGTATAATGAAAGACTATGGGAAATACCATGGCAATTGAACTGTATGTGTGTGCTCTGAGCGCCATTCAGTAATAATGTGCGCTCAGATCTAAGCTATCTGGGGATATGTTGAATGTACCTGTTTTGTGCAATGGCTGCACAGTTATATGTTTTTGTGTTTTATTGTCTTTTGCTGCCATGTGTTCAATGGAGTTTTGCCTCTGTCCTTGGAGATAATTGGATTACTTCCAATTATCTCCAGGATAGAAGACTCTGTGGAACTGGTTTTGGGCAGAAAAGCCATGCTTCATTTGGTCACAAAGGACTACGATCTATCTTTTGAACCACTGGACCAATTTGTATGATTTTGACATATGTTTGTATTTGGAGTATGCTGATTCTGAAAATGTAATGTAAAAAATGTTATGTGAATGTGATGCATACTTTTCAAGTTATGAATAATGTGGAAAAATTGTATTTCTCTTCTTGTGCTAAATTACATTACCCATTGTGTAAGGTAATTGAATCACATGCAGATGGGAGGAATTTGTGTGGGAGTGCCTGAGTGTATTGTATGTGTTTATTGGTTGTGTTCCAAAACCCTGTGGGTGGTACTAATGTGTAAGAATGTGTACATAAGCACAATAAACCCACAGCTCGGGCTGTTCACTGCTTGACCCTCAACACTGAGCTTTGTCTCGTTCTTGGGGGGGATTTATTGTATGCTGTTCCAGTTCGACTGCTAGGAGTGTAAACCTATTCATATGGTTTTTCCTATTCGGCTGTTTACAACATTCATATGGTTTCCTGTTCGGCGGATTGGTGTTCTGCAGTAGCTGTGCCTGCATCTCTGGAAAGGGGGACGATCGCCTAAACGGTTTTTACCCCTTATGTGCAAAACGGTCCGTTACAATCACTTTCTGTGCTACCACCATGGAGGCTCCTTCTAGAGGTTCGAATAATGGTTCAGTCAGGGCCTGTGTGACCAGTGGTACGTCACATATTTGCTTCACCACACTCAGGGGAGGCATGATTTCAATCAATGCCTATATGAAGCAAAGTGCAGCTAAGTGCTCCTCTAGAGTGTTATAACACAGAACCTTTCAAGGCCTGAACGAGGAGTAATTCCAACAGACAAAAGCATGTCAAGCTTAGTAAAGCCTGTATAGGATTGTAAGAGGATCTCAATGACCGTCTCAGGGATGCCTATACTAATATGGACTCCCGCATCAACACCGGAACTTAAAAATCCTGTTGTTATGGGGCCTTGTAATAGGTCTGGACGTACAGGAATTTCCCTTGGAGGTTCCAGAATCATCTTATTCATCATAGGAATTAGAGTCAACACCGTCTTCCACTGTCACCTTTTGCATTGCCTTTTTAAGAAGGTCGAAAACAGGAAAATATGTACATCAGACTAAAATTCTAAATTTGAGTCAGTGTATCCTGAACCTGAGCATTCTGGTACTAGCATGTAAAAAATAATTCTGTACCTGGTAGTTTCAAGAAATGGCCATCAGATCTATGTAGGGTATCAGACAATCTGCGTCAACCACGAGGATACGTCTGTACATGGTTGCCAATCCACCTTGTCCAAGTTATTCGGCTCCAGCAAACAGCCATGGTATTCTGAGCCACTGGTTGTTCTTCTGTGCCCTGATCATTATGGGCTGGAATTCAATCAATACGTATCTGTGAGACCCATCTTGGTAGATATAGGATACAGTTGCATTGATATTTGAGCAAATTTGGACCCACTCGTTCTTCAGCAAGCCTCTGAATTGAAGAAGAGCCTTGAAAATGACTCTTCATTCCATACAAATGAATGGAAATATTGTGCAACATGGTCCAAACACTGTGCAACCAATCTTATAAAAACTGGAATTCGAGCTAATAATTGACCAATGAGGTTCTGTTCACTGGAAACTCAGAGATCTAATCCCTCTTTCAGCTGCCAGGGTAAGGTGCAACTCCACTGATGGGTACATAGTAAGTGGCTGGCTCCAATAATCTTTCTCTTGTTAGACCAAGATAGGAAGGATCTGTAAGGAATCCAGAGATGCCATTGGGCCCATCTGACAAGTCTGCTGGTGGAAGCCAGGATTCCTAGTAGTTGCATTTATTTTCTTGCTGTTACCAAGCAGAAATTAAGAAACTGGGAGAGAAAACCTTTACAATCTGTGGAACTGTTCCCGAGATAGGGAAAAGCAGAGCCTAGAATTTTCCACTCGGGAATGTCAACCACTGAGCTGGTCTGAAACTGATTTTCTTAATATTCATCAAGCAGCCAAACTTTAGGAGTTATAAAAGAACTATATACCTATGTGTGCCTGCCTTCTGAGGGTCTAAGGCTATCAGAAGTAGATCCTCCAGATAATGGAACCAGGTGGAGTTCTGGACTCTCAATAACACTATAAGCACATAGATTCTTGGGGCCGCATTGAGGCCAAATGGTAGGGCACTAACCTGGAAGTTCTCTTCTGAGCTAATGCCGAAGATCTCTGCAGATTGGACTGAAAGTAAGCAATCTTGAGATATAGAGGTAAGGAAATAATCCTTCCAGATTGCTTGAGATATGGATCTGATTGACTCCATCCCGAGGAGGAGGAGATATGTTCATTGCTGAAGAGCAAAACGACTGCGTTATAGCTCCATTAGAACCTTGAAAGGCAGGTTTACCAACTGCCATGAGGGCCCTGCAGGGAGTATTCCCTGCAGGGCCAGTAGTTCCATGTATCTCAAATACTGGTCACTGGAGGTTCTCCGGTCAGACTATGAGGAGCTGGGATCCTTGGAACTTCCATCCTAAGGTACCAATATCTTGCAGCCCTCATTCGCCTTTTCAATGGTATTATCCAAAGCTTTCCCAAACAGCACAACCCCTTCAAATAGAATGGTGTAGAGGGCAGACTTAGAGGATGAGTCATCATCCCAGAAACAGAACCATAATGCTTTCTTAACTGCTATAGATATAGAAGCCATTTGATCCAGAGAATATCCTAGTTACATCTAGGGAAGTTTCTGTGAAGAAGTCAGTTGTAACCTTCAGACTTCAGACTGCCTCTTCAATCTTGGCTTTTAATATCTCTCTCCATAGTAGCCTTTAGATCTTTAATCACATATTTCAGGTTTGTAGAAACAGCAGCGGAAGTCACAGCTGGCTGGCCTCCTGCAATGGTAGGTGTAAAAGTTTGGACAGGTCTGCGTCCACCTATGATCCATAAGTGTGCAATGTAGGTGGTGTAGTTCTGGGGTTGGAAATAACTTCCTCCACAGGGTAAAGCCTGGCCTCTTTTCTTACCCCTAAGGCCTCTAAAATACCTTGGAACTTCCTTTGTAAGCCCTGCCCGCATGTCATGTGGCTGCACAGTGATAGGTCATGCTGAAGTGACCTCCTTCTGGAGGAAGTCAGTGCATAACCGATTCCCTTCCACTGTTTTCTCCTCATAACCAGATCCTGGTGAAGAATCAGACACCTGACAAATAATAACAACTAAATATTACCTGTATGAAAAGTATTAAGAAAAAATGTGCACTGTTAAATTCTATAAGAAACCAGCGAAACACCTTTAAAAAAGGCTAAAGACAGCACTTATCCATGTCTGGAGACCCTGCAAATACTTACCCAATAAGTGTATGTTTACTGTAATTTTCCCTTTATTTTAGGCACTTTCTGGCAATTGCCCTTATCCAAGATGGCTGCCACAACTTGTATTCCCACAATGCAAGTCATCTGTATTAGGCCCAATAAGGCACAAACTGCACACATGTGGGCCTATTCCGAGTGTGTTTGCTGTTTAGAGACCAGGGAGAGGACTCTGTCTGAAGCCTACATGACCCCCTAAACACCCAGGGAACCGGGAATAAATCACTGGGACTGAGGGGAAAGCAAAATAGATAACAAAAGTGCCTGCAAGAAAGTTGAAAAGGCAACCACGTGCAAAAAGTTAAAGTTTAAAGGCACCACAGTCTAAAGGCCTCAAGGTATAAAAAGGTAACACAGTTTCCAAAATGTATCACAGTATTTAAAAATCAGTCTTCAAATGCACTGCAGTTTTAAATGTCACACAGCCTAAATGCTTCCTAGCAAAAGCACAATCGCATAATGTACCACAATCTTAAAAATAAGGTACAGCTGTATAATGCACTAGTTTAAAGATATCAAAGCATAAAATCACAACTGTATAATGTACGTACAGTAAAACAGGCAAATAAAGTAATGAAGATAAAAAAAAAAAAAAAACATACATGTCCGTAAGTAAAGGGAGCAAATTGCTCACGCCCTAAGGGCTGTAGGACAGGAAAAAGACTGAGGACCTTAGGGATGGAGCCTCCTTTTAAAACCTTGGTGGTTTTCCTGTCCTATCGGCTGTAGGGGAGGAGCTAACCCATGTGTATATGATGCCCGTGTGTATATGATGCCATGATTAGCCAGGAAATATATATTTTAATTGGGGTAGCCCCCAAAATATTGGGCCATATAAAAAAAACGACAACTCTGTTCTGCAGAGTAGCTGTTGACATTATAGTTGCACAGGCACTTTGTTGCCTCTAGAGAACTTCGGGCCAATTGGATATCCCCGTGGCGGCGACTTTGCATGCGGATGTCATCCATATCAACTTTCAATCCCAGTTTCTGCGCCTACCATGGTGACCACGGGTAACGGGGAATCATAGTTCCATTCCGTATAGGGACCCTGAGAAACAGCTACCACATGCACGGAAGGCAGCAGGCGCGCAAATGACCCACTCCCGACGCGGGAAGGTAGTGATGACAAATAATAATACAGGACTCTTTAGAGGTTAAATCCTTTAACTCTGATCAATTGGAGGGAAGTCTGGTGCAGAGCCACTGACCCATGCGTGCTGCAGCTGAAACTCCACTATTGCCTGCTGCTGCTCGCACAGTCTCATGAGGCGGTGAGCGGGAAGGCCAAAGTTACGCTGCAGTGCAGACAGACGAGCAGCAGCAGGGTGACAACGCCAAAAGCGCGCTGTTCCAAGTTGCGGATCAGTCTGGTGATGGCTTCTGGTATCCAGTACTCTTTTTTGTAAAGTCTGCAAAGGACATATGGAAATAGTTTTAGAATTGTATCCAGGCAACAGTTTTCCCTATAAACTGACCTCTCAGTTTGACTTGTGAAGGTATTGCCTCAGAATTACAATATTGTTTAAGTACCTCTTAGCTATTGATAACTGGTTTAAATATAGCAGTTTGTTATCTGGTAGTTTCTAGTGTAGAAAATCTCACTGTTTTCTATCACTTAGATCTGTGTTATAAGTGTTGTAGGTGTGAAACAATATTAAAAGTGACCGATGTAGTAAATTCGAATCAAAGTTATGCTTCGGCAAAAAAGAAGAAACTGGTCTGTCCAGTGACCATAATAGTAGTTAAAAACTAACTTTTAATTAATTCAAAATTAAGAGAAGCTAGAGAGATACCTAGCTCTAAACGAATAAATATATATAGAACACTACATAAACCAGATCAGAGAAAAAAGGGGGAAGACAAAAAGGGTACATAGAGAATAAATATAAACAAATACAGAACTTGTACCGTATTGTCCCTGCTAAACTGATAGATGGAAACAGAGAATAGTCTCTGATTTCCTTTTGTACAGAGTACTTTATGCTGTTAAACTAAGAGGTGAAACATAATAACTGTATGACTAATGTTTCAGTCAAACAGTTACTGAGTATCAAATTTGTCAGGAGGACAGCGATGTCAAAATAGTGAAAGATGACAGTAACTCAATAACGAGTTCGCAGAGTATATAGCTGAGACAACAGTGATGACACGGGTTAGTGCTGAGCCTGACTCAAACCTCTGCACCAACGGCACTTAATGTCTAAACGGTGATTTGGGGGTGCATCACAGTTTGTTATAAGACCTAAACACATAACCTGAAAAAAATTAAGTGATAACCCAGGGTTATACAGATAGTAAGATAGAGACAGCAAAAGAGTTGACCTGTCATAGTAATTTGCTGATCTGCCCTGGACTAAAAAACGATTAATGTAGCTGTAATAAATGTCCGATAAGGCTAAGTTAGTGGAAGGAATGTCCGCTGTTTCCCTAACCGTGGCTAAGCTTAAAAAAAAAAAAAAAAACGCTGCCTAAGCCTAAATCTATAATAACTGGTAACAGTTTGCTAAGCTATCTGAAGCTAGAGAGACCTGAAATTTTAGTCACAGATTTGCTAAACTCTCTAATCTAAAATGTCAAACAGACTAATAGAGCTAGCTGATCTGTCTCTCATTGCCGGATTGCAAATTACTGAGCTTCCTGGAGCTAAAAGGACGAGCATGAATAGTAACGGATTTGCTCGTAGTTCTAGTCTAATGTTTAGAACAAAGATTAACAGCTAAATGGTCTAAAGCAACTTGTAAAAATCCGCTACAAATGGGAGTCCCGACCGTTTCGCATGTGAGCGGTTCTTCAAGGGGTAAGTGATACCCTCTTATGCTCGGTTTAAATAGGGCGCCAAAGAACCTGATTGGTTGGTGGGAGGAGCTGGGTGATGTAAAGTTAACTCCTTCAGTATTGTCAGAGACCCATAACTGAACATTTCTTAAGTTAAGTAACTTAAAGGTATAGTCTAAAGAGCATATTTTGCAAAGGTTACGATTGTCATCAAAGGATAAAGTAAAAATAATGAAAAAATAATTCGTGAAATATTTTGGCATTATGATATTTCATAATTCATTATTGAGATATTTTATTAGGATATTAGCAAGTACATGATGTATGGGTGACTTGTGCAGGGCTCAATTATTGCAGCACCCATTGACCAGTAATAGGGTAAGTTAAATAAATTGGCTGTATAATATAGAGAGCATATTATTGCAAAGATAACAATTATCTTCAAAAGATGATATGCATATAATGAAATGATAATTGTAGCATTATGAATTTACATAATTAATTGTTGAGATGTTAGATCCAGTTGTTGTCAGGTACATGATATATAAGTAACCAGTGCAGGACTCGATTACTGCAGCATCCATAAAACAGTAAGAGTGTAAAGAAATGAAGGGTCAAAAAATTTAATGAAATTATATAAGGTACGATGTAGTAGAGAAAGATAAAAAAGGTCAAAATATCACGAAATAGGTGGAATAAATTACGATAAAAATTAGTGCCATAAGAAAACAATGACATTATTGATGAATGAAGGGAGTATAGTTGTATTCTTCATTCAGACCACAAGGTGTCAGTGTCTTGAATTTATAGATCCACTGTGACTCTTTTTGTAATAAGTCTATTTAGGTTTCCTTTTCTTGGGTTCGGAAGGAGCTTTTCTATTGCTTGGAATTTCAGACAATCCACTTGTCCACTGTGGAAATTCTGAATATGTCTAGCAATAGGAGTAGGAGTGATGGTATTTTTGATGGAACCAATGTGTTGTAGAATTCTACGTTCTGCACCAACGGTACTTAATGTCTAAACGGTGCCTTGGGGGTGCATCACAGTTTGTTATAAGACCTAAACACATAACCTGAAAAAAATAAAAGTGATAACCCAGTGTTAAACAGATAGTAAAATAGAGACAGCAAAAAAGTTCTTCACTGTTGTCTCAGCTATATACTCTGCGAACTCGTTATTGAGTTACTGACATCTTTCACTATTTTGACATCGCTGTCCTCATGACAAAATTGATACTCTGTATGACAAATGTTTCAAACAGTTATTAGGTTTCACCTCCTAGTTTTGCAGCATAGAGTACTCTGTACAAAAGGAAATCAGAGACTATTCTCTCTGTTTCCATCTATCAGTTTAGCAGGGACAATACTAGTTCTGTATTTATATTTATTCTCTATGTACCCTTTTTGTCTTCCCCCCTTTTTTTCTCTGATCTGGTTTATGTAGTGTTTTATATATATTTATTCATTCAGAGCTAGGTATCTGTCTAGCTCCTCTTAATTTTGAATTAATTAAAAGTTCGTTTTTAACGACTATTATGGTCACTGGACAGTCCAGTTTCTTCTTTTTTTTGCCATTTATTTCTACTGGTTAACCCCTATCATTTCTGTCCAGTAGTCTTATTTATTGCTACATCAAATCTCTTTATTTTTTTTGTCCAAAGTTATGCTTTGATTTGACTCTCAGGTATGAAGTGAACACCCCAAATATACTATTTAGCACCAAAAAAAAAATGGACTTTTTAAAACTCCAATGTAAGCAGCAGATTAGCAGCAAAACAATTAGAATTTTTACAACTGCGCTGTAAGCACACTATTAGACGCTTCGATTTGACTCTCTGATAAGAAGTGCAACCCACTAAAATACTGTTTAGCGGTTTAGCACCCAAATAATTGTAAGTTTTAAAACTGCAATGTGACAGCAGTATTTGATGATTCTATTTGACTCTCAGATCTGAAGTGCACCCCACTAATGTACTATCCCACTAATGTTCTATTTAGCACCAAAAAAATAAATGACTTTTTAAAACTCTGATGTAACCGCAGTATTTGAAGCTTCTATTTGACTCTCAGATATGAAGTGCACCCACCCCACTAATGTACTAATTTGCAGAATTCTTTCCTAAGCTTTCCCTATCAGCGGCATCATCCTCTCCCTACACTAATAAGACTGCATGTGCGTGCGGCGCTACGCGACTCCAGCTTATATATAGAGGCAGGTCACATGCTGCACTGGCCAATCACAGCCATGCCATTAGTAGGCATGGCTGTGATGGCTTCTAAGGGCACACGAGTCAAACGCTTGTTGATTGGCTGCCCTGCAGCCTTTCAAAATGCATCATTAAATCGCTGAACCCCCAACTCCAACCTGAACATACAGTAATATGTCTGTGTTCGGGTCCGGGGTCCAAAAAACCTAATGTTCGGTACGAACCCGAACTTTACAGTCCGGGTTCGCTCAACTCTATTGCCTACCTGTTTTTTCCCCCTCTAGATTAGAAATCCCTGCCTCTAATCTGAAGGGAAAAATCACTATTTCCCAAACGCTTGAATGTTGGTCAAAAAAAATCAACATTGTTTGTTATAACGAGATCCAGACAAGCATCCTTTGTAGTTGGTCCTTGTACCAGTTGTAACATGAAGGTGTCATTTAACACATTCAAAAACCTGATTCCCCTTGCTGAAGTACTAGTCACTCTATCCCAATTTATGTCCGAGTAATTTAAATCTCCAGTAATTAACGTGTTACCCTGATTTGCAGCTTTCACAATTTGCTCTAACAGCTGTTCTTCCTCATTAATATTTACATTAATTGGTTTATAACATATCCCAACCAATAATTGATTTCCCTTTGTTTGCCCCAAGCAGATATCTACCCATAAAGCTTCCACAAGCCTAAGATTTGATTTTAACTCATGCTTGACATACATCCATTTTCCTCTGACTTTGTTATTGATACCAATATGGACCATGACAGCTGTGTCATCCACAGCCCCTCCCAATAATCCCTCTACCCTGTCAGCAACATGCCGGGACCGAGCACCCGGGAGACAGCAAACTGTCCCCTAACACCTCAACCTGTCTAGCCTTCCATACACTCTCAACCCCACCCATACTAGAGTGGTTGTTCCCACTGCTGTTAGAAGGAGCAGCTGCCTGCAGTACAGCTACACCTGAGCTGATGCTCCTGACATCTTCACTTAAACAGGCAAATCGGTTAGGTTGCACAAGATCAGGACTAGCTAAACCTTTCCTCTTCCCTCCCCCGCTGCTTTCTCACCCCCTGTTACCCAGCTATGTGCCTGCTCACCAACAGTCTTAGCTCCTCCCACTTCATTACCTGCCCCCAGTAAGCAGCAGACTCCTCTCAAGATTGTCAATCTCAGTCAGTGTTGCAATTTGCCTCTGTAGATCTCCAATCTGAGCTTCCAGAAAAGCCACCCGCTCACACCCACCACAGAGG